ACGCCGATTAAAACTATAAGTAATATTATTATCACTCGGTTGAACCCAAACGAGCGCTTTTTCCGTTTTTATTACATCACTACAGTATACAATATATAAAACGTATACGTTGTTAAAATCCTCGTTATTTAGTCGCTACCAACTCTTATCTGTATACCTATTATATTGTTAAATAATGTAAATGGATATGTATACGAACTACGAGATGTATGTATAGTATGTATACACAATAATAACCATATATAGCTATAATAAATATAAAATAAATTCGGTTGACGAGAAAACGACGTCAGACGATCGAAAGACTATCAATAAAAACAATTTTTTTTACCAAATGATAATGGATTTCCCCTCTACCTCTCCAATACGAAACTCGTCGACTACATTGTGTATTATATTATGGGCTGGGAAATTTCTTCAAACATAATCAAAACATACGTCTCGGGGATTCTGATATAAATCACTCTATTGTTTATATGCGCTGTTGGTTATTGTTTTATTATTATTATTATTAATGTTAGTGTTTATAAGTGTTGAGTATGAGTTTTTTTTCAAAAATCTTCGTATATAATAAACTCATTAAAATAATAATCAAAAAGTCACATCGGAGTAAATAGTCGTCCCTTGTGGTAAGCGGTCATAGTTATTATACGATAGTGGCAGCGGTGGCTCTTTGAGGGTGCAAGAAACATGGGGATTCGTTTATAGGTACACGTGTTTGGTATATGCACTATATATATATAAATATGTTACCTATACACACATAAAAACGAATGTATATCATTTTTTTTTTTTTTGAAAAAAACGCAGAAATGACACAAAAAAAACCCACCTCCCAGTTGAATGAGTGACAAGCGTGTCTTTTTTTTGCGCCCCACCCGTGTCTGTTTACACTTGCTCGATTTCAATTCACACAAGGTTCGCTCTGGTTGTAAAGATGACACGTAAACGATAGTTTGTGGTAAAATATGAGTATGCGTGTTTACTACACCCTACAGCCGTCTGTATGCACATTTATAATATAATTAACATCATATACAGTGTATATAATACTGCTATAATATATAAATTTAAAATATATACATAATATACCGAAAAACAGTTATTAAATTGTACCGTAATGAGTTTGTATAAAGAATATCTAATATATTATATTCCTTTCGAGTATGAAAAAAATTTAATTAATAATTTTAGAAATAAGTGTTATACTGTAAACATGTTTTTTAATGCTCGCAAAGGGTTGCGAAATAATATATTTCAGAACGATTTTATTATTTTATTTTTGGCCAACGATAACTGTTTTACTACGTAACAGTGAAAACATAAAATCTAAAAATATTATTCTATCGAACATTCGAACATATTTTCATTCCCAAGATTCTTGAATTTTTTAAATGGCATAGGTATATAAAAAAATTTAAAAAAAAATTCACGACTTTTGTACAAGTATTTGTTAAGCAAATTTACTGCGTGTTTTGTTATTATAATTTAAATTATATGAGTTTTATTTTTTTGTTTGTTTGCTACAAACCATGAGATCTCACGACGTTGTATATGTATAAATATTATCTGTAAACATATATTTTGCGAAAGATCGTGACATATAACTTAAGATTCTTCGACAATAAACTATACAATAGTGAAAAAAAAAATTAAATAAAAACTATATACTAATGACCAGGGATCGAAAGTTGTAACATTAAAAATGTTACTGTTTAGTTCTTAAATATGCACTTAAAAACTCCAGTAGGTATATGCGTTATAAATAGCTCGAAAAATAAAAAAAATATGTATTTAACTTGAAAAAATTATAAATTTATTGAAAAAAAAAATTAAATGTAATTTTATAATTTTTTAATTTACAGTTAAAAAGTAAAAAAAATTCCAAGAATTCAAATACTTTTAAAAATATAACCAAATAAATCATTATTTTCATATTTCATATATTATGTGAAAATATAACCGTAAATATGCAAAAAAATAACAAAATAAAATTTCGTGTATAACACCAGATAAGTGTGAAACATATTTGTATCTTACTTTGGATGTTCTAGGACGAACCAAGAAAAACATGCATTTGCTACAACTTTTGAACCCTGTTAATGACTTATAAGTATTAATCAATTGGAAATATTTTTTAACCATTTTTAAAACAATCCGATACCTAATGAAATTTTAATAATTGTGCTTAATTTTATAATTAAGAGTTAAAACAAATAAACCATACGGTTATATAGGAACAGCTAATTTATACTGAAGCTAGGAGTTGCTGTTTCTAAATCATAACACTTAAAGATATATATAACTTTAAGATTGAACTATTCGTACTATTACGCACATTATTAATCGTTATTGTATACCGTTTTATAATGTATATAAATCAACATATTTCAGCGTTCTATGCAGTTACACAGTTAAAATAGCTATAGCTGTAGTTATGTTATGTACACACGAGAGAACAGTAATCAATGATCGTTTAAGACTAATTCGTTAGCGGAATTAATGAGTGAATGTTTTTTTTTTTTGAAATTGTAATGATTTATGTTATATATATTATATATGATCTAGTTAGACCGGGTTTTGATTTGAATAAAATCGGTTTAACCTCAATCAAATGGGACCTTAGGGCAAACAGTAAATCGTCCGAAAGCGGTTCATTAAAACGAGCTATTGTGTTTGATTGCTAAATTGTCGAGTCCCGCATATGCGCGTTAAACTCTTTATTAATACATACTTTTTTTCATCGTCTACGAATTCTTTCTTTTTTTTCCCTCACAGTTACCGTTTTCATCTTTTATTATTATTATTATTTTAATTTTTTTTTCGAGTATATATTCCCATTCGTCTGTGGAACGGGTTAAGAGGAAACGACGTCGGACAAACAGCAATTGGTCTTTATTGCTTTAAACTGGTTCTGTTAATAAATTTAGATTGATACAAATGCCGTATTATAGGCTAATGTACACATAGTAAGTACTACTACGATGATGACGATAATGGTGGTGGCGAGGGCCTATAAGAAATGTGAGCAATTGATGCGTTCTTTACATACCGACGCTGCCGTCGTTACCGGTGTGAGCCAAGAAAATAAAACAGTTTCAAAATATTCGTAAAAAAATAAAATTAAAATTAAATGTTGTGTACAGTGCAAACACATTGAAATGGCGAAAGGATTTTCGGTGTAACGCAAAGTAAACTATAGGACGCAAATAGTCAACAAGAAAAAGACCGTTGCGAACCTTTAGTGCAGAGTGGCGACGATAACAAAAAAAAAAAAATAATAATAATAATAATAACAAAAAACGAAAGGAATATACACCCTCGTGTGTATGTGGAAAGAAGGGGATAAAAAAAAAAAGGTTCATGTGGAAAACAATTGACGATTACATGCATCAGACAAAGGCATCGGGTTACGTTCGCGGTATCGTTTTTCTCGCATTTTTGTGGAAACTTAACCGAGCGCGCTTAAATACGTTACTTCGATATCGTCATCATCCCATACAATTATATATATATATATATTTTAACTGAGTAGCTCACATTTCCCACGTAGGATTATTATGTTCCGAACCAATTGCCCGTAATTTTAAAATCAACCCCGCCGTCGGCGCGGATCCTCAATATAAATAATATTGTACGAATAATAATAACCTTAAATACGCAATGATCACGGTTCATCGTGGTGTATAAAATGGACCGATTAATTTCCTCAATTCTTGCTTAACACGCGTAGGTATTTATATATACATGTTATTATCATAATCATGCATGATTAGTCCTAAAAGGTTTTTATTTTTTTTTAAGAGAACGCTACTCATGCAGTCATACATATTATCTTGTATCTGTCGTTTAAACGTAAAAAATGTATACAATTTAAGTTCAACAAAACCAATTTTGTGTTATCTTAAATAATAATGTATAAATTGACCTATTTTAAAACTTAAACATAAGAACACTGTTTGTGTTTAAGTGTCGTATTTTTTTCAAGAAATTTTTATTTTTAGACAAGATCTGAGTAAATGAAATATCACAAATTAAGAATGCTCATATCTTGCATAAAAATTAAAATATTGAAAATAAGAGGACGATTAAGTACAAAGAATGTCCTTATTTTTAAGTTTGACAATAGGTTAATTTATATTACTGTTATTTACGAAAAAAAAACGATTTTGTTAAACTCAAATCTGATATGTTTACGTTAAGATGGAGTAACACACGTTTTCGTTCAAAATTCACACCGTTTTGGAATACAGACCGACGTTACCGTGATGGGAACTTCTCATTGGGAAACAACCCGCGTAACACGTGGTATAATATATACCTTATATATAATACGGTCATATATAGCTGGCTGCATAAAAAATAACTAAAAGTCCATTCGTCCGCCAAGATTTAAAATAAGAGATGTGCTAAAAGAAACCACGTTAAAAAGCGTAACGTGGACGGATTCCTCGAACGGGTTCATCGATCTTTTGGGATTTATTTTTGAATAAAAGAGCGTAAAGGCGATCCGGTATTTGACCTTCGCATGCGGCCAGCGGTTGTGCATTTCCCGCATTGTTTGGAAAACACGACATTTGCGATAGGCGGCTTTTGGCCGGTCGCTTGACACAAATACCATCGGACGGCAAACGAAGAGAGAGAGAAAATCAACTCGTTTATTCATCTCGCGCCACCCGTGCACTAAAATAGATGGTCAAGGGTGGCGGGGAGGGACGAGTAAAAGGGAAGTGATGGAAGGGAGGTATAGTTGTGGTAGTGGTGATGGTATATACCGGTATCGAGGTTATGGGCTTTTGTTTCGTTTGCCAAAAAAGAAAAACCCGAACCAACAAATTGTTTTACGCTCAACCCTTGCATATATACATGTAATATGTGACGCATATATATATATATATATATATTATGAGCATATATCGACGCACGCAGAGGTTTAATTCATATAATATATATATATATATATAAATTGCTTTATTTTTATTTTTTTTCAATTCACTGACCTTGGGCATTGGCGTAGGTCGGCGTTGGAACCGTGAGCGGAGCGGTGACTGCCGAGTGCGGCGACAGGGTCTGAATGCCTAGTGACGTCATCGCAGCTGTGGTACCGGCTGCGTCCCTGTGTATCGGAGGCAAGGGTACGATGACAGACGGTGAGACGTGCTGCAAAAGACAAAACAAAAATCGTTTTATTAACAACGTTAATATCACGCAAATGTACATATTCTTATGATGATTATATGATATCGTTTGCAGTTATAAATGGACAGACAATTTTAATTGATATACACAGAATACAAAACTTTGATTAATAATAAATTCTTCCCAGTTAAAACCACGTAGGTATACATATATAATATATATGTGTGTGTGAGTATATGAGTGCGCGCGCGGGCGCGTATATATATATACATCAACACAACACAGCGTTATTTAAATTTTGAATCGTATTATTTATCGATCGTATATATTTCTATAATATATTACTTACCTATAATTGATTCCATAAAAGTTAATAGATACATATTTTAACAGTGGCTATATTCAAAAAGAGTATAATAAATTTAATGTGTTTTTAATTTTTCGTCGCATTATGATTGCGCAATTTTAACAATCCAGTAATAGAATATACTTATGGTCAAACACGCGTGTATCTATTATGTTATTGTTTCAAAACAAAATCTTGGAAGTATATATCATAAAGAAATCATTTTTAATTATATATATATAAATTATTGTATCGCGATGATGAGATGACATTGAATTTTTCACATACATAATATGCTCGTCAATTCCGTTGCATATTATACTTCGCAGTACAGCACTGATTAGCTTTGTGAATTAAAACATATTATTTATATATACACAAGTACATAATACATGCATATTAAACTGATATATGTCAATACTGTCAAGTGTAAGTATATGCATATATTATGTAATAGGTAAAAATGTTTATAAATATATATTTTTGATGATCAGACAAATGTTATTAGTTCTTTCGTGTATAAAATATATAAACTCGAATGTGCATTTATAATTGAACAAAATTGTGTTATGTACGAACATCGTCTGTGCATACCTATTTAATAAAATAGTTGTCAGGTATTATGCGCGGATTGGATTTTTCGCATTTCACTCTGTTATAAGAACCCAATGCGAATATTGTTACGAGATTGTGCAATCGTCGTTTCTTATTTTAACAACAATAGCCGGCAACTATGTTCGTGACGTACGGCAGTTATATACCTACACGATACGGCGGCAAAACACACACACACAAACACAGCGTGTGTTCGACATAACGATATCATTTGCATACGATTCACACGGGGACGGCCATCGATGTCGACGGGAGGAGACTATAGAGACAGAAAGAAAGAGCGACTTTTTGCAGCAGTTGTATTGTAATGATATAATTACGCCGGAATAAGATGCGAAAAAAATAATAAGCCTTTATGACGTTCGAATTTTGAGGGTGAATAATAATAATAATTATTATTCACATATTATATCTATACACTTATATAGAAAATTTATTTAAAGAATTACATTTATACTATAGGTCTCATGGAAAGGAAGAAAAAAAAAACGCCTAATAATTTGTTGGCTTATAAACATCACATGCCCAACCATGTATATATTGTTATAATTTTAATGAGAGAAGGTATATTTGTGTGAAAAAGGGGTTAAGTTCTTTTCATCACGGAGAAGACGCCACATAGACAATTTGAATTTTATACTCCCCCAGGGAACCGAAATTCGTTGATGCATATTGCTATACTAACATAATATATATATTATATTATGTGTTTTTTTATATTATTATTACCTATAGTATTGTATAAGCATATATAATGTATACATAGGTAATATATTACGTAATAGACAATAAATGCGCGGTGCCGGGGCAGGAGTGCTGCACATACACACTATAATACTATTCGCGGTGCTGTGAAATAAGCGAAAACAGAAGAAAAAAGTGAGTAATAATAAATTCAGAGAACCACGGGGGAGATTCGATATATATAAAGGAATAATAATAATAATAATAATAATAAAAATTCACCTATTATTACAATGCGAATTTCGATTCCAAAATGCGGATGTACTTGAATAATTGCAGATTCTAATAAAAGATAGGCCGAGGTTATTATTCCTTTTTTTTGGCGTGCAGAAATTGTGTGTGTATATATATATATATATGTGTATAGGTACACTCGTTAAGACCTCCCCGCACCCTTCTACCTTCATTCTTCATACCTCTACATGTCCTCATGTCGACGCTTTTTTTTCGAATTTGTTTATGCGATTTCGCAAATATTATACAGACTCGTGTTCGTCCAAACGCGGGCAGAGGGTGGGGAGGGGGTGTGGAGTGTTGCAGCGCTGCTGATTTAAATTTCCGAATTGTAAACGTTGTTGTTGTTCGTGGTATAGAGTGTATGTATGTTTGTGTTTTTATTTTTCGTTTCTCCTTTTAAATTTTATCCTTCCTCTCTTTAAGGTCATGTCCATTGTTCACGTAACCGACATATATACGTACACACATACATGTACATGTAACTGAAAAGCAGCAGTGGCAGAGCGCGCGTGTAGATCAAGGATTTTCGCGAAATCCGAATCGCAATTTTTACACGTATTGCGAAAATGTGAGATTTATACAAACACGCGCGCACGCGCACGATCGCGTTTATCACGTCGTTGTGACCGACGACGTTTCAATTTATACATAATATATAGTATATAATATACGAATAGTTTGGCTTTTTGAAAACAATAGCGGTTTTCGGAGAACGCACTAATATTTGTTTTTTTTTCATTGTTTTTAATTAAAACATATTTTATAAGAATAATAATAACGGGGAATCGATGACGGGCCAAGCTATTGTTAGAGCTGCTGTAGCGTTCGACAAATCAGCTGATTCAAACATAATTATGACTTCAGTTGTCAACAAATATTTACCAAGAATATATTAATCTCGTATATTATACGTTGTACTATAAATAAAAACAGAATCCTGCCAGTTAACCTATCCATATTTCCTTTGTATTGAAAAAAAAAAAACATAAATACCATAACACAAGATAACGGTTTGTTTGGAAATTCGAAAATAGAAATAATACATGCGCGATAACACGGACGTCGAGGAACATTTTGACATTTTACCTTTACGTATTTACAGATAGTATGAATAATTTCGATGTACAGACAACATTTCGCATTTCGTTTTTATCTACCCGCGACTACGGCCGTGTTTTGTTATCTGTGATTAATCTTATCTATTCTATATAATACATATTTTCCATTACCTATTTCGGTGACGTTTTCGACAAATTTTCGCCCATTTTATAATCTAATGTCATACGACTATTGGCTCTAAATGACTAAATCTAATATAAAATATTTTATAAAAAAAAAATCTAAGTCGAAAATCGTTCAAAACGGGATTTCTGCTGCTGTACTCGAGCGAAATAATCGTATTAGAATTATATTTTGATGGCACAAACGCGATATAATAGTATGTATTAGGTGGTGTGCACTTATATACGCCTGCACAAATCACGTCGGATTGATATACTTTAATTGAAACTCGTCCCATTGTCGCTAAATGGTCCTCTCTATAACGGATCGATCGTCCGGGTGATTGGTCGTTGACGGCTCATCGACACTCTGTACAATCGTAGGCATATTACAAGTTATACAGATGTATTATAGTCGCCGCCGGATTGGTGATCCGTCGAAACCGGTAGTAGTGCGAAATATATTGCATTATAAAACCAGTATATTACCAAAATGGTAATAATAATAATAATAATAATAATAATAATAAAATATTACTCAGGAGAGAACTATGCATTTAGATTTATATTTTTTTCTAATTCTACACTACAAATGCGTAAATAATTATGCGACGTCGAGTCGCATATTTTATTTCATTATTACTGCAATAATTTTTCCCAACCCAAACGGACAAAATATAATTTTTTAGAAAGTGCGTGCAGCATTATTGATAGACGTCGAACTGACCGCGCCATCGGCACCGGCACCGGTTGACGGTAGTTCTTGAACATTATTCGCGTCTGAAGCGATATTGGGCATACGAGCTGTATCATTATCACCGGTGAAAAACTTCAGGTCAAATGTCAACCTCCTGTCGGACATTCCCCGACGCGGCTGCGGTTTATTGTGGCAGACTACTGCTGTACATTATAGCATTATGTAATACATACGACCGTTGTACTTAATTAATGTATGCGTTATAAACGTTACACGTGACGGATCGCATAACGTTTTTATAATAATACAGGTGTACTCCGCACGCCTCGAACGGTAAGCGATCGCGACGATGTTTCGCTTATAGACGATGGAAAACGTCGACGATAGGTACCTACGCGTAATGAAATCAATAATCATCGGTCGGTGTCTTGAATCGTGCGGCTAACTATAAAGTATAGACGAATCTTGTACAGAAAAGATTATAATAATAAGAGACAAGAGTACAATCCTGCAGACTCCGGGTCTCTTATATTGGTTGTGGAATTTGTGAGTTTTTTGTGTGAATTTAACATCAAGCGTATAGGTACCTTATACATTATATATTGGCTGAGTCAGTCGTACGGAATAATCGTCGTACAAAATGCGTAATGTAAAACCTTATTAATACCTCCTCTGCTCTTCCAGTAATATATACGAAATGTCTCTCTCATAGAAAAAAATAATAATAACTATAATAATAATAATAATAATAATAAAAACGATAGAAGCAATTAGAAACAATTTAAATCGCTAGTAAATGATGGCTTAAATCGCGCATTGTTTAGAATGCATATAATTTGCTAATTTAAATCGTTTCGTCGGGGTATCCATGTATAGCGTATACAATGTTTAATGTGCCGTTTAAAAGATAAATGTACAAAACACGTGTATTTTTTTTTTCAGTATACGTTTAACGTACCTATACAAACACGGTAGATCCGACTCTTTGGCCAGCCGGCCGGAACGAGCTTGGTATGTACATAAAATGTGTTCCTAAATGTACACGTTTACATATACATACTATGAGCACATCATTTGTCCATTATACACACATAGGTGGATACACGAATAAGCGATAATATTGTATTGGACAAGAACACGCGATAGTTATCGCGGGCCGTAGTAATAATTAAAAGTGGGTTAAACTATGTATAACGTAACATTATGTAAAGAGGGGAAACGGAATCATAACGATATTTCGATTCCGTTCCGGTTTTGATAGCGCACACAAGCACGTACACGCACACATATTCATCGCGATAGCGATCTGAGTATCTGAGTAGGAACATATAGATATAGATATGACGTATGCAGGTATTTTGTTGTTGAAACAAAACACCTTCTTCTCTTCTCCTACCCATAGGGTATGGAGGAATCCTATTCCATCCGCAAGCCGGGAAAATTGTTATAATTTATGTATTTACGACAGTAAATCATAAACCGTGAAAAGGGTAATGCAGTTACATTTATTTTTATTTATGATGTGCATAAGTGTTCTTAGCCTGGATGATGTGAGAAATCTTAAGAAGAATTTCACGCAGACACTTGCATTATGCACATAATATACTATAATCCGCATTTATAAACAAAAACGGATTTCCTGTGTAGGTTTATGATATGAGGTACGTGCGGATAAACGTGGGTGAAAAAAATTCTTAATTTTTCATAAACCTATGCAGAATATAATATTATGTTCTTGTGTTGTTTGCGATCGCGCATAGCCGCGTCTAATATACTCAATTTAATATATTATGTTTGCAATAGTAGGTACATAATATTATCGGATTATTGTAGTGTGATTTTAAATCATTGCAGAAAATATCATAAGATAATATCTGCGTGCAAGTGCCCTTCGGAAACGCTAAAAATGTATTGTTAGCAAGACACTATATATATATACGATGGGTATATTACCCACATATTAAAATGTATGGCTTTTTTATTATTATTCTAATATTATTTATTTAGCTTTTTTATTCGTTTCGAATTATACGTTTTTTTTTTTTTTTTTTTTTTTTTTTTATTATTTCACGCGGTGTAATCGTCGTTCACTACACCGCCGTCGCCACCGACGACGTTTCGGCTGCTTACAGACCCCGTCCGCCTTAGATTCTGAAGATTTGCATTATTATTCGCGAAAAATTATTCCGAAATAAATTTACACTCGCCATGACCCTTATTATACGTGCATATCGTACGTATATTTCGCACGTAAATAATATTCATCGTTGTGCAATAACGGCGCAGCGGACTAGTAGGTATATTATTATATATTTAGTGTTATTGAGTCAACGACGGATCGCTGTGATAATTTTATAGGTGATAAATTGAAATTTCGCGAGAAAAATTGCGATGGCAGTCGATTGGAGGACGAAAAAAATAAATCCGAATCAAAAGCAAACATTTTCCGTGTATTTTGTCTACACCTATATAGTATCGTATAATAATATTATGTGTGTATTTGTTATTATTATTTATTAGGAGTTGTATACGGACGAATACGAAGACAACGATATTTATTTTGTTTCTGATTATTATACGAGCGTATGCACGGCAGTGAAATGTAATCGTCGACGACGACAATAATATTTAATACTCCGTCACGGCGAGATTTATATCACGTTGGTGATTATGATGCGCGTGTATATATATATATATATATATATATATATATATATATAGACACGACGAAAACCGTAAGCATTAGTATATATCGGTTTGTGTGTACCTACATAATACATACATTGTAAACTTATACGACGTGCGTAGACAGACACGCGTACAAAATAATCGATAAAATTTGCAATTACGCGACCGAGTAATAATGTAATGTTTTCATCGTATTTTATCGTAACTTACGCGCATGTTTCTCCGACAATAATAGGTAAATCTTTATTCGATTAACCGTGCCGAGGGTGCAAAGTAATAACGTTAATAACCATTATTATTATTATTATTATTATTAATTTATTATCGTCGTCGTCATTACAATACAAAATGATAATATATGATATGCACCGTATGGACGATGATTAGCAAATCGGTAAAAATCGTCGTTAAATCGATGGCGATTAAAAATTTCTAATAATTTTCGTACGATATAAGTATGAGGTATCTCTGTGTGTATAAATTTGCCGATTTGCGTGTGTGTGTTTAAATAAAATGAGCACCGGTGTGATGATGCGATCGACCTAAACACACGTCATTTTACATTATTATGTTTATATATTGTCGATTCCAAGCTCATATAACCGTATACATATACGGTATACACACATATATATATATATATTATACGCGAGCGCAAAGTATCGCATTAATATTCACGCACGGTTGTAGGCTAACCTATACAACAATCACACTATTTTTTAATATTTAATTTTTAATTTTTCTTTTTTTTTTTTTTTTTTCATAAGCATTTATATTCACAAACATAAAAATATGTACGACACACCCATTATTCTCCGTTGGCTTTCTAGACCCGATTTGCACACAATACCGAAACGTTTAATGGCTCTTGTCGTACTAAATATATATATAAATATATAATAATAATACTGTCTTATACAAAAATATATATATATATATAAATATACGCCTTGTCTAATGTTGGCCGATCCTTAAGAGCGCACACACTCATTTTTTTTTTTTTTGTATATTCTTCGGTCTTGTATTATAAATAATAATGTTTTACACTGGCACACATTATCGAATTCCCGAGGCGTCACCGTCATCGTTACATCGCATCGGCGGGGTAATTATATGATAATTACGTCGTAATTATTTTGTGACTTTTTTCCCGTTGAACCTCTTTAGCGCGTATCCCCCGACCACCCGACCGATTTTCGGAGTTCCTCAGTGTCGGGCTGTACGACACGCCTCGCGTTGCACACAATACAATATATGTATATCGTTATAACGTCTTATAGTGTACTAGATATAAAAATTATTATGTTTATAATAGTTGTAATAGTGTATACTCCGGTATACTTGTATATATGTAAGATCAATAAACTCTGACATATTGCGCACACACGTACGATCACGTGTGTATTGGATTTTTGGTGAATTCAAGTAGAATATTTTTTACGTTTGTTCACAGATAATGCAATGTACTACGTATTTGTGGACTTGCGGCAACGATATTATCGCGACAATTGTGTGTGCGGCAATGTTGGGGAGGGAGGATGGTGACGACTTGTTGTCTTGAACCCGAACGCGAGCCCGCAATTTTATATTGTACCGTGGCGTGTAGGGGCAAAAACTATTTTTATTTAAGTTAATTTTCAATAACATGCAACTTCATCTCTTTTTATTGTATATATATTTATGTGTGCATTTACAATATGCATTTGCGCGCGTGTGTGTGTTCGTACCGTATGACGTAAGAGATACAACTTTTCGTGAAAAATCATATACAACGACGTACCTATAAATGTATAGTGCACAACGTTATGCGAATTAGGAAAGTTGATGCGGAAAAAAACGAAAAGCTATCGATTGACGATATAATACATTTTGACGTACTGAAACAAAGATCAGCGTTTCTCGATGCATACACGTGCGTACATAGGAAATGTACACACACATATATGTTTATACTATATATGTATAATGTATATGTAGGTACTTATAGCATATAAAATATACTTTAATCTATAATGCAATAATAGAATAAAACTCTAACGAAAAGTGAATTTGTGTATCACGGCGTCTGATATCGTCTAAAATATGCGGGAATATGAACGTAACCAAGCTTCAGGACGAAATATTCTTTTAGGTTTATTTATTTATATGTTTATGATATAGAGTGAGAATTCTAGGGAAGTGCATCGAGTATAATATTCAACCGATCGTAATGTATCATTGTATGTCACGTTAATAAATAACTTACCTTTTGTGTTGGCGAAGATGGAGCTGAAGTCGCCGGACTAGACCGCGGACTAGCCGACGAGACGCTAGTCGGTTTTTGGTGTTGGGCCGCGAGCAGTGGCAGACCCAGGGCTGGATACAGACCCACGCCTCTGGCAGCCAACGATTCCAATATACGACCTGAAATAAAATGAAAATTTATTAAAACTAAAGTTCTATTAACACATCGTTATAAAACATTATCCGACGAAAACACATAGACTGCAGGTATTTCTGAAGTCGAATAGTAATAAACGTATATGTTTATTTATTATATTGAAAGCGCTGTCGTGCGCGTACGGGAGCGTTAACACAAATACCCCCGATGAGACTACAAACACAATATGCATAGATATAGGTATAGACATAATATACAATAATACAGTGGCTGCCGTGTGTGCGTATATACGTAGATGTATACACGCATATTTACATAATCAACACATTAGTCATTGTGTCACAGACGGACGTGAAATAAGGTAAACACGAAACCGGAGCAAAAAATAAAAGAGGTGAAAAATCGTGCTCTCTATCGCCTGGCGATATTATACGTAGGTACGCGTAGAAACCGACGACTATGACACGCCTTTGGGGCAATTTTTGTGAACCTGTCAGTTGTCGTAAGATAAGCATTTTATATAGATACACATATACATTTAATATTTTTTATTTTATGTTTGTATCGGCGTTGTGGAACGCCACGGGCGTCAGTAGCACATAACAGCAATTTTATTATGCGTAATGAAAATGTGGTTCACATATTACTACAATATATAATAATAATATTAATGTAATATATTTATGTGAGTATTATACATGTATATTATAGTTATTATTATTCGTTTTTATTATTTATCGTCTTTGAATAACACACACGTTTATCATTTTTATTCTCTTTCATTTGGCGGAAATCGTGAAGTGAATTTATATTTTCTACGAGAAATCGTGCGAGAAGTCACAAAAAATAAAAATAAAAATCCAATGTCGAAAATCCCCGGAGTGTCTGTTTGACGTATCTAGAACGACGAACGTGACGAAGACGCGACTACGTTACTGCTATATAGTTGTCGGATGCTAGGAATACGCAAATAACGCGATAGTCGACTCTAGAGATTACCGAGATAACAGTATAGCGCACCCAAAAAATTATCGTTGAACATCAAAAATTGTGCGCTCGCATGTATTCAATTGTACAGCCATGTCATTAACACGCTGAAATAGAACGTAAAGGTATAGCCTATAGCCCGCAGGTATATTATAATAATATGCTATACATTTATTGTGTGCAAACTGCAATCTGACGTTCGCAAATAAAAACGTTCGTAATAAATTGCGATCAGCTACAGTGATTTTAGCATTTAGGTAATTTCCAACAGAACGCCGTAGAGCTCTAATTTTTTACGAACATTTTTTTTTGTCGCCGAACCGCTGTAAGAACCCGACTTCTGTCTGCCATGACAGTTATCGCTATATGCTTCGGTCAAATTCGCCGGCGTGCTTTTGAATTTCTTCCGAACGAGTGGAAATCAATCGAATCGATTGGTTTTACAACCGTTTTACTGCAGGTCATGATATTGTGTGTCTACGATAATTTATTATATTTCGTGTAAATCATAATGATCTGTATTCAAAATATTGTTTACTAGGAATTCCTGAACATTTGTTATGACGTTTTCCATGTTGTTTGACCAGTCATTATTTCCTGGTTACTTGTATAATATTACATACGTTTATCATAGGTGTACATGTTTGTAGCGTTTTATGTAAATACGCCCATTATCGTCGTCAAGTAACTGTCGTTTAGTCAGTATAACGCGTTAATCTCGTAGACACGGACCACGGTCGGTAATCGCCAGGTTAATGTTTTTATTTTTGACTGTTTTTAAAATATAATGTATATATATGTATATATATATACATATATATTCCCCTGAAATTGCTATATCGCGTGAGAAGTCGCAAACGGTGGCTCCGGATATGCATTTACATGTTAAATTAAAAAGTAGTTTCCACTACTGGAATATTTTACATTTGACTAATTTATAGGTTTTTTTTTTTTACATGCCCATTTAATATACGAGTGTTATATTTTAAAAACCATTATTTCCCCCTAAAAATAATAATGAAATGATACTAATAACGCCTTCATAAAAAAATATATACTACACATAAATTTGTATTATTTACGTACAATAGTTGATTTACCTATTTTAAATGTGATATAATAATATCTATATTGTGTATACAATAAACGTCTCTATATCATATTATACCTAATAATATAACATTGAATTGCTCTCGCGATCTGCATTTCGCTCTGTTACAGCGTTGTTCGCGTGGACGGGTTCAATCCGTTTTCCATTGTGATTCAGGGACCCGTAAAAGTGGAGCACAATGCGTTGGTAATGTGACACCCGGAAGGATGAAAAAAAAAAAACGATGAAAAAATTTCGAGTGTTTCGGTTATTTCGTTCCCGTCATTACCATCTTAATCCGCGTGTGTGCCCTTATGCCGGGGGTTCGTGCTGCAGCGTCCGAAAAAAAAAACCCTCGACCCCTATGTCACACTTGTCACCCCCCATATCGTATATTATTATATATTTTTTCGACCGAATATTTCTGCACGAGGGTTTCCGTAAAACGGGTAAATATTATTTGCGGTGGAAACTGTTAATAACCGTACACACGCACTCTCGTACACACTATTGCCGTATACCACGCACTTTTGTAGCAGTCCCCTTCGGCAGTTTGATATCCTCATTATTATATTATATATATATATAATTTATACGACGCACAGACACATGGGGAGATCAATTGAACAGGTTAAAAGCTATATAAACGAGAGGTTTTTTTCGCTCCGCATAATATCCTGGGACCGGGATAATTTTTTACGTTTTTTAAAGGGGACTAATGGATGACATCCTATTTTGTTCCCACCGTGCTTGGGCGTTTAACCCGGAATATGATTTTGCAAAAAAACACAGCCAGCAGCTGACAAGATAGGTAGGTATAGACTATAGGTTGTACATACGTGGCTCTCCGCCTATTGTCGAAAACTCGGCAGGATACTTTTGCATTTATATTATACGATTTGACAATAAAAAAATTGTATAATAATAAAAAGAGAAGGCTTCGATGATAGAGTTAGATTGCGTGTGAATAGTGAAGATCGTTTTATTTTATATATTTTTTGTTCTGAAGTCCTCGACGACGTACGTAAGTAACAAAAAGATTAACGGCCTATACCGGAGACCCCAAAGTTCTTTCCCCAAAAATACTAAGCTAGAAAAAAGTTTTTTTCCCCAGTTGTTTTATTTGTTGATTGAGCAATAAAATCGATAGCAGTATTTTTTTTTAGTGATTTACGAAAATAATATATGCATAGGTACATATTATTAGGTAAATACATAAAATATAAAAACATATGATATTATACGTATATAATATTATGTGGATATACCTGTTGAATGATATCACCTATAATTCACCAGGATAACCGAAGAAATTATTCTTATATTATTTACTGCTACTATAGTTACACCTATATCATTGTTAGTAAATTATTTATGAATTTTTGGTCATTTTTAGACGAGTTGTTTATTTAGGTATTTAACTATCCGAAAAATTATGCATAATGCTATATAGAGTACATCCGCTCTGCAGTTGTAATGATTAATTTCTACGAATTTTAATGAATACGTTTTGTTAATACACACACATACACTGTAGCAGTATGAAATATTAATGAATATAATAGTTCATTATTTCCGGGCAACTGTCTAGAGTTATTTTTTTTTCGACGGAAAAATGGAGATCGTCACAAGTGACTGGTTCTATGTTGGTTTTTAGACGAATTGAAATTTAACAAATCCCAGTGAGAAAAAATACAGATAAAGAAATAAAAATGTCAGTGATATTAAGATATTTTTTACCGCATTTGACTAGATGCATCCATCCATCGGACTAGTTAACAACGCCACTACATAACAATAGACTGAACATTTTCCACATGAGTAAATTATACGCGCAGGGAAGTAGTTCTTTTACCAAAAACAATGTACAGTCCATCGAACCATACATTTAAACCCGTAAATATTCTAGAAAGTATTTTCTCGAAACGTTAATTTCGAGTGGTTTGACTCCAACTATATATTATAAGTGCACTTTTCTTTGTATATTATAATATTTTACATATTGCATACATATAGTGGTACACGTTTAAAAGTATAAGGCAAGTATATTAAACCACTTAATGCTCTTCAATGTCGTTTTAATATATGCTTAAATATCGTGATATTATTTAAAAAAAAAAAAAAAATTATAACCAAAATATCTGATAATCAAGCTGTAGTAATGATGATAATTTACGAATTTATGACGTAATTGAGTTATGTGTTATTGAGTTATAATTCAATTCATTAGAATTTTATTTACATTATTTAATCGTATTCAAATATTATAACGAACGCGCGTGCACACGCATACAAAAAAAAAAAAAAAAAAAAATCGAACAAAGTATTTTTATAAAAACCAAATTACTTGTGTATATTTATTTTTATGGTTAATGTATTAAATTATATTTAAACACGGACGTAGTGCATGCTGCAATGTGTTTGGCCACTTGACGAACAGTAGAATCCATTGAACACACAAATCTGGTGTGTTTCTACAATGTGTTTCCCTATATAAGGCGTACGTATGTGTGCGTGTTTAAGTATTTCTTCTTGAAAAAAAAAAAGTGGAAAGAAAAAAAATGAAAAAAGTTGTATAATGAACGTGCTCTTGGTAATACAAAATGGAAGTAAAAAACGTGGCTTACACTCGTCAACAAACGCCGTATTTGGTAAATCAAAACAGTTATGTTCATATTGATCGAAGTGACGTAAGCGTTTTTCGGTAAGCCTCTTTGGTCCGCGGATCCATCGTGACATCATTGTTTATCGACTTAAATAATAATAACTATAGTAACTACGCGTTATCTTCTCCGGCCGTCCACCACCATACTATAAATTATATTATTAATAAATATGAATATGTATATTTTATTACAATATTATATTTGTGTACAGCAGTGTATACTATTCTATACTATATATTATTATAGTATATAACAATATGTATTTTGAATCTTAATATTG